GGGGGGGGGGGGACCAGAGGGCAACGCACCTACTTGGGAGTCGGCCTCACAGGAGAAGCAAGTAGGAGGTGGAGGGCGGAGCGGGGATGCGCGCTCGGCCAGCACCGGGACCCTTGGGGGCTTTCTCTCGCGTGAGAGGGGATGCTTGGGCGGGAAAAAGGGGCAAGGAAAGGAGAGGAGAGGAGAGAGGGGGGGGAGTGGAACAAAGGGAGGGGTGGACAGCACACGGAGAGCAAGAGACGTCCAGACCGTGCGTCAGGAGGGAGAAGACGACCCCAGCGCGCGACGCCCGGAACGGGGAGATCGAACGCCCGGGGAAGGGGAGGGGGAGGAGAGAGGAGGGAAAGAAGAGGAGGCAGGAAAAATGGGGGGGCGCGCAGTACACAGTGCCACTGTGAGTGAGGCGGTATCGGGGGGGGGGGGGGAAGGGGGAGGGCAAAAAGAGAGAGGAGGAGGGGAGGGGGAGAGGAAGGGGGGAGGAGGGAGAGAGGGAAAGAGAGAAGAGGAGGAAAAAAGAGGAAGAAGAAGAAGAAAGAGAAGAGAAAAAGAGAAAAAAGACGAAGAAAAGAGATGAAGAAACAAGGGTATAAATGGGGGGGGGGGGAACGGAGAAAAGGCCCAGAGGAGAGAAAGGGGAGGGTGCAGCAGCCGGACATCCCCGAATCAGCACCACCCCCCGGCAAAAGGCGCTCTGGTTGCGGGGGCAGGGGGGGGGGGGGGGGAGCGGCTGCGACAGCATGTGCCAGGGACCCTTGGACTAATCAAGCACGGAAGATAGGGAATAGAGGAAGAAAAAAAACAAGGGACAAAGGAAACAATAAAAAAAGAAAAAAGAGAGAAAGAGAGAAAAAAATAGAGAAACAGCTAAAACAGGAACAAGAGAAAGAGTAACTCAACAGGACCTGCGGATTGGGTGCACCCATCTCGGCTGCCTACCCGGCGCCAAGCGCTCTGCCGACGCATGTTTAGGTGGGAGGCCGGTCGGACCGGCACCGAGACGCTCATCCCTGGCCACCTGCTCACACACACACACACACACACACACACGCATGGGCCTCTTACACACAGGCCCAAGTGGGCAGACATGCGCACGGACAGGCGGCCTGAGCATGCGGGGAGACCGGCGCCGGCGGATGCCCGAGTGGGGCCGGGCACGCGAAGAAACCCTCCTGCGGTGTCTCGCCATTCAGCCTGGGAGTCGGAGGGGGGCCGCTGGCATGTGCGCTGCCGTGGGGCGGCGAGCACGCGGAGAAGCACCGCGAGCAACCCTCACACACATGTTCCCGGCGTCCTCGCGCGGGGAGGGGGGGGGGGGGCGGGGGGGCGGTGGACCCCGCATTTTTCGACACCAGGACGGCACGGAATACTGCGTGAGGAGGGACCTCCGCGAAAGACCGCGGGGGGGGAGGCGGGGGGGCGGGGAGCGCGGAGGGAGACGGGGCCCGGGGGCGGCACTGGCTGCCTGGCTGCCTGGCTGCTTGGCTGATCACATCCTCCCATGAGCATGTAACCCCTTCCTTCCCCGCGCCTCCGCGGCGCCGGGGCGTCGGCCGACGCCAGCATGTTTGGACACTCGCAAGGGGCCCCCTGAGTCCAATAAGCCAGCCGGCGGGTGCGGGTGGGGCCAGGCACCGGAGGGTGGGCCAACAGCAGGTAGAGACGCATGCCTTCCCCAGGACCGGGCGCGCATACAATCCCCCTGCCCTGCCCTGCCCCCCGTCCCCCCCCC